GCATGATGCAAAACCGCATCACTAGACAGTTCTGAACCTGTTTTTCATCCATGCACTGCAGGTACTGAAATAACATGAAGCCAAGGCCTTCTTAAATGGTTTCCTCTGCCACTAGATGCAAAAGAAGGGTAGTTACGCCGCTTAATCCGGTATCAAAAACTAAAAAGGATTAGATATCTTAGCGGTGGTATCAATAACTGGCAGTATGCTAGTAAACCCATAAGATCCAGGTTTATTCTTTCTGTACAGAGTACTTTTTGCGTCAATGACTTGGACTTCTAAGGCCATTGCTTGATATTTGTACCTTCTGAAGTTCTTTTGGCTTAATTACAATGACTACGACGACTACCACGTGGGTTATGGTTTAGGACTTCAGTCGGCGGTTTCATGGATGAAAAATAAGTTCTTTATGAAAGGTCATCGTTGCCTCCGTCGTGTCAAAGTGGCACAGTATTGATCCGGCGACCACTCCTTATCTTCCGTTGCAATCAATCAAAAGCTTTCTGAGTCCCTTCTACACTTTGAGTTTTCGCTGTTGGCTGGTCAAACTTTATTTCATGATGTTACTGAGTTTTGGATCGATTTTGTCACTTATCAACGGTTAGTATAGAATACTGCATTCTAAATGTTTTGACGAATTTTGAGCATCAGACAAGACACGTTTAAAAGCCACCAAACAATGTGGTATCTTACACAAAAAATAATTATACAGGGTTCAAACTGTGAAAATGCATAGTTTAAACAAAGAAAAATCTATTTTTTCTTTGCACCAGCAACTCTGCTGCACCGACCCCTTGCTTCTGGACAACAAGAAGTAGCAGTGCCTTGTTATTAAGCCTTAATTAAGCCATGCTATTGCTGCAAAGTTAGGAATTTGGGACTTGAATGGACTAGTAGCGATCATTGAACGACGAATGCGCAGAACGTAAGTGACGATTTATACAAAACTGATCTATGACTGTAAGATGAGGACGATCGAATATCTAATACAGCATTTGGGGGGGGGGCGGGGGCCATGTGTTTGCAAGACTGGTCAGAAAAATACACTGAAACCGAAAACAATGAATCGCATCTTACCTTCTCTTTTCATTCCAACCTTCAAGCACTTCTGGAACCGACAGTACCTGCACGTGTTCCTTTTGTCCTTGTCGATGACACAGTTGCGACTGAAGCGACACGTGTACAGCTGGTTCTTACGTATGGTCCGTCTGAAAAAGCCCTTGCACCCATCGCAGCTGTTCGCACCATAGTGTTTTCCCGTTGCGCGGTCCTTGCAGATCACACACGTAATGCAGCTGGCATCTGACGACGTAATCGCTTCAGTTACAGGCAACATTTCCTTAAACAGCACTCGCGTACTTTCATTGGTCGAGCCGGGGGGCGACGAGATGTTCGGCTCGTCCCCATTGATGCCCGGCTGATTGAACAGCTCCGAGCCGTTACTGTGAAACAGCGCTGGCCCGTTGTTGTAGGTACCGTTGTTCGAGATGGCCTTCGAAGCAGCCACCTGATTCTTGTAGTACGTACGCACCGCCGGTGACGGCGTATGGAAGGCACTTTGGTCGTTGCCCAGGATTGATGGCAGGTCTATGAAAGCACACTTTGTTTACTATGTATTTGTGCATTCTTGCAAATTTAAATCCAAAAAAATAAAAATGCTTGCTTTGTTTTATTTGAATATGTTTGACTCAGTCAAGTTAGATGAAAAAAACAAAACCCTAATATTCTGCGATAGCTACGATACGGTAACTTTCCAATTCCACCAGTTATAATAAAATTTCAATTTCCAATATCGGACTTACTCTGCTTAAGCGTTATTTCCATTTAATTTTCTATTCACGTTTAGAACTCTTTCAACAGCCAAAGTATCTAAGCACCTCAAGTGCATCCATTGCAGGACTGAACCTCTGAGTTCAGGTGAACAAGGGCGTGTTCGAGCATCAGCAAAATTTGCCACTATCCGTTGACAAAACATAACACCGATGTTCCGGAGTAGCTATCGCATTCTACCTCCAAGTTCCACCGGTGGTCATATTTCAATTTCTGACACTGCAATTACTCGACGTAAGTTTTCAGCAAATGTAGCGTGTGGGGGTCAGTTAGAAGTGCTTCATGCGTAATGTTTGTGAATGAGATATTATAAAAATTTTAATAAAGCGGTCTTGCAATTTTTTTTCATACAGAAGGAGAGATATTCAATATCGATATGAATTCCAGTTCCATTGAATGGAGATCCATCAAAAAGTTTTACTTCATTTTGCAAACTGTCCAGCTGTTTTATCCAATTTGTGAAATTACATTGTTATTTAAGATTATTCATAAAAAATTATTATAAAACTGAAAACGAGAAAACTGAAGCATTCTTGTCAAAATTTAGGCTGCTAGCAATAGGATCGCCATGAGCAGTTCATCGATCTCGATCGCTTCTTCCACCGGCTTTAGACGGTGTTAATGGACGCTTCTCATTGCTCCTAAGAAATTATTCACCACAGGAATAGCTTCCATCTTTACTCTCTAGACGTCATCTCAGTGTCCATCTCCAGTTGTTGATAATTCAACACTTTCTTTCCATTGTCAGAGAGGTCATATCAGCTAAGCATATCATATTCATGGTTTGAACTTGTCTCATGCCCTGACAAAATGAGGGTTTTGGAACGAACTCTCAATTTCTCATGAAGATCAAAATTGAATGAACTAAAAAATTCCTTAAGATCATTATTACACACTGATATGTAGTTTACTTTATCATGAACTGACTATTTCGCTTCTGCCTGTTTGTCTTGAGAGGCTGAAAAACGTTTGTTTTCAGATTTCATTTTGAGCCTCTATACTTTAATACTGTAACAGTGGCTTGAGTGGCATGAAGCAAGTTTTTCCTTTGTAACAGGCCAAAACAAATACTGGCAGAACGACGTCGTATTGCAGTGACTAGACGGCGAAACGTTCTGTGATTTCTCCTTCGTTCCTGAGCGTGACAGCTCCTTTGTTCTCATGAAGAATAAAACTGCCGACATGACAAAAGCACGCCAAATTCCGCATTTCCCAATAGAAAAGCAAGACAAGGAAAAACCTGCCATATGCTTTTAGCTGGTCAGTCCATATGCTGACAACCGTGAGGAAACTATCTGCTCTTCCTCAGGATCAAACGCCAGGAAAACATCGCTTATTACTGAAATATCGTTGATTCCATGCAGGTCTTGAACGATACAAATTTATACGATCTTGTTGAACGTAAATAGTTACTTGTGTACCATTGGAATAAATGTTATGGAGTCAAGACTGAGCATCATTGTTTTGTAAAACTACTCCAGGATCACAGCTTCATCCTAGGGTTATACGCTATGAGCGAG